TTTCTGCAGAAGAGAAATTACCCACAAAAAAATCAGGATATATGGGTTAATAATCTCGATTTTTTTATTTTTGTGGGTTGGTTTCCTTGTGCAGAAAGGCGTCAAAGTGACCTTTTCATCAACGACGAAATGTTATAAATAAAATTCTGTTTTTGATTATTTAAAAATTTTAATAATTAAGTTAGTTCTTCATTTTTTGGTTTTTTATATAAAAATAAATTATTTTTTTATTAATTTTATTGTAATTTTTTTATAAAACCCTATTTGTCCCCCTTTGTCCACCCCTGAGGGCTAACATGTATTGTATTATTGGCCTAAGGCGAGAAATTGTCTTAATCCGGCCTGTATATATCAAGCTTTTGAGCTATGTCAATAATCTATTTTTTTTTTAGTTTTATTTTATATTATTTTTTTAGATTATGAAATTATGTAAAAAACACACAAATGCTCATTCTAACCCTGTTTAAAGATTTTTCGAAAGATTTTTATACCGGTGGTATATATTTTACAGATCAAAAGAAGAAGCGCATTGAACCAAATTGCGGCGCAACCTTATCGAGCAAATATAAAAAGTGACAAAGAATTGTATTTTTAAATAGAGATCCCAAGAGGATAAAAGTTGAAAGCAAAAAGAAAATAGATACTGAATTCAGAATCTATAAAGGATGAGACATTACAGATTAAAGATTAAACAATTGAGACAAACGTTGGGTACAGCTTTAAGAAAAGTTAAAAATATGTTGCCAAGGAGTCCTCGTAAAAGAAAAATTATAGTGAAGCAGTTAGCTTTACAAACTATCCCTGAAAAGATGCATAACGAAAAGCCCACTCCAAGTCGTGGACTACTACATCTGCTGAAGATATTAGGCTTTTACGTGATGTTGTTAGTAGACAGGCACCAGAAAAGAGAGACACAAAAAGGGTCGAAAATCCAATTACTAGTAAGAGAAAATCATTTAAAAAAGACACCTTATAAAGACGATTAAGGAGGCATTTGTACTATTTAAGAAAGAATTTCCAGATACAATTTTTCAGATTAGTAAATTTTACCAGTTGCGCCTCAAGCACGTTCGGTTATTATCACAAATGCCTCATAACGTGTGTGTGTGGCCCATTAATCTGGAATAAGATATATGAAGCTCATACAATTGGTTTGGAAGTTGTGCAGCGGAAATTCCTTAAATTGCTTCACTTTAAAATATATTGTAACTATCCTGTCCAAGGATTTGATCATGCACTACTTTTGTCATTATTTAATATTCATTCCTTAGATATATCATATATGAGAAGAATTATTGGCTCTGAGACTTTTTTGTATAATATTTTTAATGCTAAAGTTGAATGTGCAATATTATTGGAAAAATTAAATTTTAATATGCCTCGTATAAACTCTAGAAATCAAATAACGTTTAGAAATAATAGAGCTAGGACCAATATTGCGAATAAATCACCGATTTACTATATGTGTGAAAATTTCAACAAGATTTCTATAAACATTGTGATATTAATTTTAGTACTTTATTTTATATCAACTGATTTAGCATATCAGTGTATATAGGTTTTTGCACGACATGGCAACGTAGTAATTTTCTTTAAAAACTGTTGTTTTATAAAATAAATTGGGTAATTATCTTTCATCGTTTATATTTTCCCTAAAAAAGTCGATTTCTATGCATTGACATTTTAAATTGGACATAAAACAATTAAAATGTCATAAAGATTTATGTGACATTTGCTTTTAACCATAGAAAATAATTTCGCTGAGTCATGGTTTACTGGATTTGTTTTTTGGTTTCATTGTAAAATAATTACCCCTAACATTGAACTTGGGTGAAAATATTTATTGTTTCATTTTTTTATTATTAAAAACATACATACCTTCCATACATGATTACTTTTTTATATAATACGCACCTGGATAATAAAAAAAATTACTATTTAATAAATAAAAAGGATTATAAATAAAACCAAAATTGTCTTATTTTTTAAATAGTTTTGATGAATTTTAAATTTTAGACCATGTTCAACTTACTTTTTCTTTTAAATTATTAAATTATATGCTTGCTCTTCAAAGAAACAGTATGTTTTCGGTAAAGGGCTTAACAAGGTAGAGGGGACTTTTTTTCTGGGGAAATTTACCCTCTATTTATAATAATAATAATAACTTTATTAACGGATCAACCAGTTACAAATTACAATTTTTTACAATAATAATACTTTTAAATTTCTTTTATTTCCACCTTCTTAGTAAATGACATTTTATAGGTTAATTTTGAGGTTTTTGTAACCAAGTAAACGATACATTATGGGAACAGACCTGTAATATTTTACGGGCTTGTTTAAAAGACCTGTAAAGTTTTACAGGCTTGTAGAAAAGCAATTTATGAAATGAAATGTCACATTTGACATATTAATTAAAACTTTAAATTTGAAAATCGTTATCTAAAGGTGAAAATAAAAGTTTGTACGTGTCACGCTTTGCAATTAATCTTTACTAGGCTCACTGGAATATGGGGTTTGCTCCTGCGTCGCTCACCCCACAAACTTCCAGCTCGCCCGTAAAGATTCATTTACAAAGCTTGACACGTAAATAACTATTAAAGACAGTTAGGGAACAATCGAAAAAATCTAAATTTAAATCGTTTGCTTCAGAACAGATTCTACTTAAAGGCATAAATTTACTATAAGTGGTCCTATGGGTCTTTATATAAAATAAATGATGTTGCCTTGTATTTTTTAAAGAAACATTAAAATTTATTTGCTCTAACAATTCTGGGCAATTAATAAAATTATTTAATAGTTTATATAAAAATACAATTCCAAATTCAGTTCTTCTCTTACTTAGTTTATCTAAATTGGCAACACTTCTAACTAAATCTAAAGAAGTACATTCAATGTTTAGTTTGTATGCGCAATATCGCAAACATTTATTTTGTACTCTTTCTAGTTTAATATTATGGTTAACATAAAAAGGTGACCAAACAATACAACAATCAGAGCTGTTCCGAGTACAATGAAAAAGTACTTGAGTACTGAATACAAGTACTCTTATATAAAAGTACTCGAGTACCAAGTACAAGTACAGTACCTTTGTGCTCGAGTACCCATACGAGTACAAAGTACCGAGTACACTTTAGTTATGAAATGTTGGGAGAAATGCTAGAGAAATGGGGCGATTAAGAAATGAATTTAGAATCACTAGTGCAAGACTAAATACTAGCCGGCCTATTGCCTTCATCAAATATTGATATTTCGCTTTATGTTAATTATCAAGGCCGGCTAGTATCTTGTTTTACTTTGCCTTAGCTTTATTTTTTAATTATCTTTTTGAGAATATTGTCACCTTATTTCTACCAAAATATAAACAAAATTACATTTCATACAGAAGTAAAAACCTTTCGTTCAATGCTCATTCCTGTGTCTTTTTATTTATTGATTGAGGCTGTCTTAAGGCTGTCGTGTGAGGCAGTGTTCCAAGTTTTCAACACATATGTGTCCACGCCAACCTCAGCGCATAAAAATATACTCATTGCATACTTTGGATGTACTCGAGAACACGTAAAAGTACTCGAGTACACGAGAAAGTACTCGAGTACATTTTTGCAATCTTAAATGTATTAAGTACAAGTACATTCAAATTAAAGTACTCGGGACTGAGTACCGAGTACACTGAAAGTACTTGGAGTACAGTGTTTGAGTACTTGTACTCGAGTACCGCACAGCTCTGACAACAATACTCTAAGATACTGCGCACGAAGGACATATAAACATTTTTTAAGCATTGAACATTATTAAAATCTTTAAGACTTCGTTTGACAAATCCCAACATCTTTAATGATTTATTAACAATAAAATTAATGTGATAGAAGAATGTTAGTTTACTATCAAAATAAACACCTAAATCTTTTATATTAGTGACTATGGTGGGACTATGATGTATGGGCCCAGAAATATAGGTAGGTACTATAAAACATAAAAGAAAATGAAATGGAGGGACGAAAAGCTTGAACAAAATTGATGTAGATTATAAGATAATTATCTTTATTATATTTTATAATAAGTATTATTAGACTACAAGTTTTATGTTTTCTGTTCCCAATGTAAAAAACTGTAATGTAATGTAATGTAATGTTTATAAATAAATTAAAATTAAAATTCAATCAAATAATTTGATTCAAATTACTCACAATTTAACCCGGGCCACAGCGGTGCCAAGAAGACACTTAGCATGAAACTTTATCAAGCGAGAACTAAAAGTGCGGTGTAGAAAGAGATGTAGCACTTTCCGCAAGCGTGACAGAATGGTAAGGTGGCTTCCGCCGAGGATGTTTGGGCGTTAGCAAAGCGGCAACGCTGTAAACTCTTGCGCCATTATTTGGAAAGTTAATTATACGCTGGATCCAGCTAGATCGCTGGATGAGGGATCCAGCAATTCCAATAACATGTTTTGATCTATCAAAATCGACAATGAATGTTAAATAGATGTGTTGTTGTATAGTTACGCACAATGCTCCATACATTAAAATTTTTATATTTAATATTATAACATTCAGGGCTGAAAGAACCTACTTTTGTAAAAAAAGAAAATAGTATTAAATTATAACAAAATCTATAAGATTAAATAATAATAAAAAATCCATAAATTATAACAGCGAAGCATAATTTACTATGAAATGAAATTATATATATTATTTTATATTAAAAAATCTTTTTTAAAAGAGATAGAAAGAATACTATTTTTTAGTCATTAATGTAAAAATTTAATATTCGTCAAAAATGTGACTTATTTTTTTTTGTGCAAAATATGATAAAATGGAAGATATACAATTGTAGCACTGTGCGCTGAGTTTAGCCGGCTGTGCCCATAGCGCGGCCGAGCACAGGGCAACTTTCTACCAACGATGGGTCCCCTTTCTTCTCGGCGGCCATCCCCACGAAACATCTTCACAGGTCTTCCACAGCCTCTCAAAAAAATATCTTCAGTCCATCCGAAGACATCGCGGCAATCGGTCGAGTGTTCCATGTACAGTGCCCCCATCAATAATTATGTTTAATATTTTTTTATAGTATTGATAAATTAAAGTATTGAACAATAGTGTGTAGTTAAAACACGGGGATTTACTTTGTCTGAAGCACGGTGTAGTGTAGTTCCCATTTAGGTTTAATTAGTATATGAGTAACCGCAAAAAATGTGGATTAAAACTTCAGTAAGTACTTTTTACCATTTTTACCATTTTTAATAGTACAAAAAAGTTAAAATCCAGTACGTATGTTAATAGTGACATTTATCATTAACAGCCCTTAATAAGACTATATGGGAATTAATCCTGGCGCATTCGCCATTTCTGCAAATTTTAAAGTAAAAGTATAATTTTAGCGGTAAAAAAATCAAGAGCCATTAAAAAAAATTCAAGTTGATTCTGCAACGCTGTATTAGGGTCAAACATTTGCATACGGGGATTTGTAAAATATTTATGTTTTGGCGTTAAAAGTTGCTGAATAGAAAAAAAGTAATAAACGCCAAAGGAAATTCTAAAAAGAAATCATGTCACGTCACGTCACTCCTTCAAAAGTTTAAATGTACAACATACAAAAGGATAAACTAGTGGCAAATAGCAACGTTTCAAACCCCGTGCAACCTAATTTTTTTAAATTTTCTTTGGTTTACCTACCTAAAGACCTATAAATTTTTTTTTATTTTCTTGTTTCGCGATGATATTATTTGTATAGTGACGTCATTTGCCTTGTGCAACAGGAAATATTTTTTTTTAATTTAATATAATAGTATATTATTATACTATAAATAATGCGCATAATCTCGAGTGTAATACTATACTTTATGTACTCCAATAGGTAGATAATTAAATGATTTTTAAAAATAAATAAATAAAATCTGACATCTGTCAAAAGGTTAACCTCACTTTTTACCAATTTTAAATGTTATTATAGTTCTCCCAATTTAAAACCCGATTGGTTTAAATCACAGTGAATATTGAAATCGACCAATCACTGATGCCTAACAACGTGAATAATGATTTCATTATTCCCGTTGTCAAGCAGGGAATTTATAATGTTTATCATTATTCACAAAAAAAAACAATTTCATGCATTAGAAGTAGATACAAAAAAAATCTACACTACGTTGTAAGTTTTCTATGCCAAAATATCACATCTAGAACTGGTTATAAACAAAATAAATAAGGGATCTGCAGCTAGCTAAAGTTGACATGGTTAAGAGTTGTGTTTTCTTACTTTAAACCATCATTGCTTTGTTTATATAATTATTTTAACTTTTTTAAACGTCTTTAAACATTAAAATAAAGAACATAATAGTACATTACACCCGAGCATACATTTCAGATAGATTGTGTGGAAGGCCGCCGCCGAGTTTTATTTACAATTTTTTTCAAGCCTTTAATTAAATTATTTTTTACGATTCTGTCACATTATTTTATCTTAGGTTCAACTGAGATGATGACATTTTAGCTTTGTTTGTGTACGGAGTACTAATTTGACTTTAAAACTGGTATTTATGTAGAGTGTCTATATGTACTTATGAGTGATAAGTATAATATAAAAATTATTGTACGCTTGACAAAAATAATCATTTTTAATACCTTTTTTATAATAAAATGGTGTTGGTTGGCCATTTTCGTAAAACTCTGTAAAACATTGTATTCTTTTTTACTGGACGCTGGAGGAGGAAGGGTTTATTAAAACGTCACGTGACCCAGTAAATCGAATAACATTGCTTATTTCTTCCATTTTTACAGAATTATTACAAAAAAACGAAAAAAATATTTTATTGAGTAGGAGAGTTCGATAATTTTTTACATAAGTCATGTGTCATGTGGCATCAGAGGGTCTTTAAATCATCACATCATGTCACGGGGGAGGGAAGGGGGTCAATTTTTAGCTTCACAAGATTTATGTAGGTATACTATTTTATAAATAAATCAGTTCGAATTTTTCTTGAATTTTTAATACAAACTAAATGTTTGAATATTATTGCCCTATTTTTAAATTAATGCGATCTTTACAACACTCACATAAAAAAATCTTCTTGGTGCTTGAACAGCAAAATAGCTTTAAATTGCGGTAATACTTAAATAAAGAGTAGGTATGATACAATTAATTATATAAATACAATGTACGAAACATAATAACTACTAGACTTCCTGAAACTTTTTTTTATAAACAGGAACTAATGGTATTATAGAATTACACTTAAAACTCTAGATTTAAACAAAATAAAAAAAAGTTAGACCTGTCTAAAATATTTCTATTTAAGTTAATAATTTTGCCTTCCTTTAGAAATAATAATAATAATAATAATAATAATAATAATAATAATAATAATATAAATTGCTAAGATAAGATTTCTTATAAGACAAATAAAGTTCATATTATATGTTTTAGATTTTGAAAACATATAATATGAACTTTATTTGTGTTATAAGATTTTAAACGATCTATATCAATCTAAATAGAAATTTTGTTTGACGTTTGGAAAGTAATAGGTATTACAAGCTTGCTAATTTTCATATAACAAGTATCTATCTTATACACTGCTAAAAGTTTTTATTCACTTTTAATTTAATAAGTTTAAATAATACTTTCTATGTATACGTACCCAACCTTTCTTTCGCTTTTAATTAACATTTTTTTAGTCAATTAAGTTATAAAAACGCTATTAAGTGTTTTAGAAGATTCATAAATTATAGATTTTTAAATTAATAAAATAATCCTTAATGTTTATATTACAGTAGTCAGGTTATATAAAGAATCTTATTTATTAACAATGATTACCATTTTTTTAATTTTAAGTTAATTACAACTTAAGGAAGTTTTTTAACACCTATGTAGTACATAGTATGCACCCTTATTAGAATAACTTTAACGTATATTAGAATAATTCCAATATTTCAATTAGGCATTGAAGTTTTTAAATTCAATTTTTTTAAGGGGAATTCTATACGAATAGACCTAAACATAAGATATTGTTTTATTATTATACATCTAATAATAAATAAGGCCTGCATGTTTATTGCATAATAGATCATATTTTTATCTATTAATATGTATGTTACATTACATAAGCTAGTAATAAATCAGGGTGACCACCAGTTTTAAAACAATTTCTTTTTTTATAAAACCCTATCAATTTTAACATTTGACAACTCTTAAAAAAGAGATTACTTTAAGATGAGATTCTTAAAATACGTTGATAATTCAACTTAATTGTCTCCATAACCTACTAAGCCAAAATTAGTTTTAATTTAAAAAGCAATTAAAAATACAAAAACGACGTTTTTGATCATCATAAATACATAAAAATTGGACACCTAAAAACATAGAAAAGCGTTAAAATAAAAGATTTTTATATTCTCTATTAATTTAAATTAATAAATTAATTGGTACCCAATATGTGCAATAAAATCATTTATGACTAATAAAAAAATTAATAAATAAATGTGAGAAAAGGCAATAAATGTAAAAAATATTAAAAATGAGGTATATCTACTCCTATTGTATAATTTTGGATTTTTTCCATATATTGAAAACCATTATAAACGCCACCGCGCCTAACAACATAAATAATGATCATAACCTATCATTTATGATACTTAGTTAGCTACTTAAAATTATTTTTATGATTTTTCAGCATTAAATTGAATTTAATTTAGGTATACGCAATATACATATCCAAAAAAATGTGTTTTTTTTTAATTTTTATCCATTTTTGATTTGGCAAATGTGTTACAATATGGCTCCATCTTGTCAAAACCATATTTGTGGATGGTTTATCACAACTGACCACAAGAATCAATATTTGACATGACATTTAATATCTATAGATATAGAACAGTTAATAAATCGGGAAAAAATGCAACTTAGTTGAAAAATCTTTAAGAAGGTTACACGAAAAAATACATGTAAAGAGAAAACTCCAGTTTGAAAAAATAAATTAATGAAATCGGCACTATTTGTGAATAATTTGGAGATAATAATGACGTTTGGTGGCGGTGCCGTTCTTGTCCAAGTTGGATCCATCCTGACTGTACTAGCGCTGAAAAAGCGTCAGTGTATTTGTGACTAATGCTTAATGTTAAAATGTTAAAATTAAATTAATTTCAAAATATTACTGCTTGGTCGATTTTGCCGTTTACTGTGGTAGATATTATCCTATCGGTTGAAATTACTCGATTTTTTTCCTTTTTTAAAAACTTACCTTTAAAACATTTGTTTGTTTGCAAAACCAATAGAAAAAAACTTATAATAGATAAATTAATCAAGCATTTTTTTCGTTTTGACCTTCGCATTTCAAAGATTACTACTTAAATTTTTAATAGCGCTTAAGTAGTCAATATTCTCTCACTTTCCTCTAATTTTTTGCTTCAATTTATTTGAATGACCCGAATTGTTCAACCAAATTAAATCAGGTGAAATAAACGTTTCAAAGGTTACGTAGCAGAATAAAAAATGATTTGGGTGTTTAAATTATTCAAGGTACCTATGTGAAGAGGACTTGAAAAACGTGCAAACAAACTACGTCGAAAGCAAAATCTATCTACGTGTGTTAAAAAATCAATCAAACTATTATAAGGGAAGCATTTTTACAGAAACTAAAACTGCAAATTACTTTGCGATATCCTGCCTCAGGTACTTCATATGCACATTGGGCGTGAAAATGAATTCGCTTGTGCGAACCAAAATAATTTGTGCGCGAAAATATCATTCGTACCAGTCCCACTTTTTTCTGACTTATGCCAATATGTTATGACTTTATGTAATTTTGCCTATAACAGCTTGATATTATCAGGTTTGTTTCTGCAAAGAGTCACGGAAAATTTAAAGACGGTTAGTGATTTGTATTAAATGCAAATGTGCCAACAGCCAAGCTTGGCTTTACGTTGGGCTGCCCTTTCTCGTATTAGATATATTGGCCCAGGCCTCGGCCAGGCTTTAAAACCCGAGTTTTGGCTTCCAAGTCTATGACTAGGCCCCGGCCGGACTTCTAAAACTGAGTTTTGGCTTCCGAGTCCCTGACCAAGCTTTAGCCAGACTTTCAATACCAAACCTTGGTTTCCATGTCTCTGAACAAGCTTTAGCCAGACTTTCAAGATCGAGTGTTGGCTCCAAAGTCTCGGACCAAGCCTCTGCTAGGTTTTTAAAACCGAGTTTTGGTTTATAAGTCTCTGACCAA